ACAGGAACCAATGAATTTGTCTGCAAGAATGAAGACATGGTCAGTTTATCAGGGTGTACACATCGCAACAGTGTGTATTAATTAAAGCTCCGGTTTCAAACCAGCTAGCAGTGTAATAGATAACGCCCAGTTTGTGAAGGAGAGTTTTTGAGGAAGACCTGTAAACCACATCACCATAATCCAAGACTGGAAGTCGTTTTAACCAGAAGCTGTTTGGCTGAGTGTGTGAAGGAAGATTTATTGCAGTAAAGCCAATGCAGGATTTAACCTTTGAGAGCAGAACATTTTTATGGGTTTCTTATGTGAGTTTGCTGTGAAGCCAATTACCAAAATACTTTTAGTTTTTGACAAAATCATTCTCAGTACCATTCAAGGAAGACATTTTAATGGAGCACTTGACTTGTGGTAGGTTTCTATTAAAAACCATACATTTAGAAAACCAAATGCAGACTAGTGCAAGCCTCTTGGATCCATTTGAAGCTAGCCTGCAAAGAAAACAGAGCAGTAGTCAGGGAGGGACTGGATCTAAAGATAATGGTATCAGCATATATATCCACATGAGAATCACATACTGTTATGGGAAAATTATTGATATAAATATTGAAGAATAGACCCCAGAGTGCTTTCTTGTGGGAAACCATTAAAAAGGGACAGGAGATCCGACAGAAGACCCTCCACACTCACTGACTGTGGACCATCAGAACAATAACCATTAAACCAAGCTAAACAGCTTCCAGAGTGTCCTACGTCCCTTAACCTGTCTAGTAGTATTTCATTGTCCATGGAGTCCAAAGTATTTGATAAATAAACAAATGCAGCTACACAGTACTGTTTGTTGTCAACAGCACAGATGATGTCATTAAGGACTTTGAATGTAATGGTCTGAAGCCAGAATGAAACATATTAATACCATTATGAGACTCCAAATGGTACAGGAGCTGCTTGTAGACCAGCTTCTCCAATATTTTGGAGACAGAGCAAAATGTAGATGGGTCTGTAGCAATTCACGTTAGAGTTATCACCACCTTTAAAAAGTGGGGTGACTTGCAGCAGACTTCCAGTCCTGCAGAAGCACACTAGTTTGAAGCAAGAGATAAAAAATACAGGAGCTAGGCACTGAAATTATTTGAGTGGTTAATTTTAGAAAATGGGGATCTAATGCAGCCAGATCAGTGGATTTATGGGTTTCCAGACTGATTAGTTCACCAAGAACCCCAGACTTCAAAATGGGCTGAAATGAAAAAAGAGAGAATCCTGAGGCAGAAGAAGATGGTGAAGAAAAGAACAGCTGGAATGAACCTGTGATTCATGCATGTCTGGAAGGGCTTCTTGTACTCTACTGACCCACAGAAGCATCAAGCAAGTGTATTGTCCAAAGTGAAAAAAATAAACACATCTCTGCTTCATTTCACTTTGCCCAAACCCCCTGATGAGAGAAAACGCACTCACGCCTCTTTCCCACAGCGCCAGTAAACAATGCAGCAGTGGTAAAAGATGTGTCCTTCACCCAGGAGAAGGGCTCCAGTGTTGTGTGTCTGTGCACCAACATGTGCGTTTCTATATTCATTCAGCTGCATGCCAGATGACTTCTCGTCTGCAGCGTCTGTGACAGCGATCAGTTTCAGTGATGAAGCACAAAAGAACTCTCACGTTCTACAGTTTCTGGTTCTGCGTTGTGTGAACTCTATGAGAATTTGTTTGGTCTTCTACTGAATTTGACTGAGATGACATGATGTGAATACAGACTAATTGCAGCTTACAAAAGAGCTTCCTGGTGCTAAAAAAGCAGCAGCAGCAGCAAGTTTATGTTGGATTCTTTCTAATGTCTGTTTTCTTTTTTCATTAAATGTGAGCGTCGGAGTGCTCCTCCTCTGTCCTGCCTGGTTTGGATCAAAGTCAGGGTGATCAGGATGTTGGAGATTATTATTTATGGAAAGTGTCTCGTTATCTACACAAGGGCAGACTGTGTAAAGCTTATCACTGAAAGGCAGAAAACATTCACGCCAAGGATATATTGTTACACATTTATGAAAACAATGCATTGTCACTTTGACGCAGCTGGGGATAGTGTTACAGGATTCTGTGCTAAAATGTTGAGTCATAAGAATATGATAATATATTGCTTTGTGTCTGGCTTTCAATGCTGCAAATGTCTAACCTATATTCCTTTAACTCAGTACTTTAGCTGATATGCTTTGCTGCACTTTATATATTTACTGTATGTTCACTTCATACTCTAAAGCTGTCAAAGAGCAACATTTTAACCATAAACAGGATCATGTTAACAGATTTAATCTTACACCACAAACAACTCCATAATATTTATTTTCACATATTCACCTATTCATTTTGTTTGTAACAAAGTCTCCTTAACACAACAGTGTCACAGACGTTAATGACCTAAAACATTTAGAGCCATATATTTTTTAATGTGCCATTGACACTCATGCCTCTTTTTTGTCCACTGTCTCTCAGTGTGTCTCCTCCCAGTTAATACTATCAACACCAAAACCTCCCAGTAATCCTCTCTTTGAAGCATTTGCCTGCGCTTGTTTGGGATGAACCTGGTGGATCCCACATCAGCAAGAAAATCCCACAGAGATCGTGGTCAAAGCTCTGGTGAGTCATGCAGTGGATGACCTTTGACCTCAGTTCAAAGGTGTCCACAAGGGCTCTATTGCGACAAAACTAAGCTCTCGTATTTATCCAGACACCAGTAGAAGAAATAACTAAACCGTAGAAGGACATGAAAAATAGAAAGCTGGCTTTCCATTTTTCAGCAATGATGTGCTGTTGTGTTGTATCCACCAGAGCGCAGTGCAGCACAGTTTTTGATGACGACAGAGATCAAGTTCTACCCTTTTCTTATTAATTGATGGTTCTTGCCAGATCAGCGCATTCCTTTTGCTCATTGTTGAGCTCTCATGTATCAGCATTAGTGCTTTATATAGCTTACAATAAACCTGTCACTGCTTGAGGCACTTCCCTTTTAAAGACAGTTTAGAGCTGTTCCTTCGACCAAACTTGTTTTCATTATCAGTGATGTTATGCACCTCTGCTAATTATTTTACATGATAGAAACATCTGTTATAGGAATAAAGTACAGTAGACAAGCATCTATCAAAAACAAATTTATTGAAACCAGCACTTCATGATGAAACATTTATAATATCAGTAGAATACATCGCCATTAATATAGTCATGCCAGAACGCAGCAACAGCAGCACTTCATTTCCTCACTCCCACCAGCCGTGAGACAGGCCTCCTACATTTACTCTTCACGAAGATAGTCTTATCACACATGCATCCACCCCTCTGGTGATCGGCTTGTCTCATTAATAAAATCTCCCGAGGCCAGCTCCAGCTGCTCCTCCTCTTCCTCCAGCGTGGAAAGGCAGACGAAGCTCTGCAAGCACTCATACAGTCTTCTGACATGCTGATGGGCTGCAACTGTTCATTGTCCATTGTAATTGAATGGTATGCGGAAAACAAGATCCGTACAGAGATTTTTGTGGAGTTCCTGTTTATACTGGTGTTCTAACATAAGCATTATTTACATTGTTGGAATTGCTACTATTGTGTACTGCATAAGCAAGCAGCAGCTTAACAGTGACAACATCAGACTATACCATAGCAAAACAAAAACACTACACCAGTATTCACATGCACTAGGAGATAGTGTTAGATTTGTCGTATATTCACTAAAGTGTTTGTTGTTGTTGTTTTTTGTCACAGCTGCATTCCAGGTTTGTGTTAGCTTGTGCACTTTTGTTATAGTTTTTATTTTTATATTGCATGCAGTGAAATGAAGGTGTTACACTCCACTGTCTGTGAAAAATATGCACGTGTAAGAAGTACCATACATATGTATGTGGTTGATGCTCTGTGTCTTTTTACTGCAAGGACATTGACCAAAACTGATTCATAATTAGAAGTCATCTATTTGCAATTAAAGTTATCATTTTACCAGATTGGTCCTGTGAAATATAAGCTTTAGAAAAAAAAAAACAACAAGAACAAAAAAAGTTTGTGCACAAGTAAAAAATCATAACAGGCAAAACTGTTTATCAATAAATAAACAAGTCATAAAACGAAAGCTGATGGAACGTATTTCAAATAGACATGGAAGAACTCAGAATGACATTGTGGAATCAGATGTGGCACAACTGTCTAAATGTTAAGACCAGAGAATTTTTCCAAAAATAATATTAAGATTGTTAAAACCTACATGTTTGAGAAGCTTATATAGGGCTTGGACACACACCCCTACACACACACACACACACACACACACACACGCACGCATACACACAAGTACAAAATCTCCCTGCTGATGAATATTTAGCAAACCTTTTCTTAAATAAACTTCAATTTGGGCAGACATGATCCAACTAGACATATGCAAACTATTCCCTTTCGTGTAAGATATGATCGACTAAAATATTTACACATCCTAACTACATGAATTTTATTTTAACAAATGATGACTGCTCCTCTTAGTTTCTTGCAGTTTCTGGGCATTTTCACCTTTTTTACTGACTAATTTAACAATCTATAATACCCCAAATTATCTATGCATTTTCTCTACTTATTTGCTTTTACCTATAAGCTACTATAAATCAGTTAATTCTGCAACCTTGAAAAATCTAACTTTTTCTCTTTTTTGTGTGAAGTAAAGAAATAATCATCTAGGTTTGTGTTTATCTGCACACTAACAAACACATCAAACTATTATACTATGAAACAATGCCATTGCCAGATGTCATACAGTTATACATTTTGTGTATTTGTATACATTTCTTGCACTGGCGGACCTCGTCCCTCTGCACAGTTTAGGTCAGAGTCCAGCTGAGATCAAATGCTCCAATGGGCTTGAATGACTCGACAACATCCTGTTTCCTGCGGTCCACTGTGCTGTGGTACTGTAAACACGGCTGTCCTCGCACAGAACACAGCAGCTGGCAGCGTAGAGCAGCATTATTTTTTAAACATCTCTGTTTCGTTTTGTCTATGTCTGTTTTTCACATATTGAAGGAGATGAAAATAATAAGTTCATCAGGTGTACAGAATGAGATCTGGGTGTGGTCTGAAGCCTCGGCTGTGAAAGTCATGGTTTGTCGGTCAGACACTGCGGGGTGCCCTCTCCAACTCATGGGTCCTGCGGTTGCGACCCTTCTGCCTTTCTTGCAGGTGCTTCCACTTGGATGCCATTCCTTGCACGTGCATGCTGTTGTGAGGACTCGCCACAGCCTTCTGCTGCTGCTGTGTTTGCACTTGCTGCACTTGGTGAGCTTTCTGCCTCTTGTGCTTCCTCTCACGTTTCCAAACCTGGTCACAGAAGTCGTCCACACTGTTCAGAGTCGGGTGATTGACCAAAGTCAGGAAGTCTCTGTACCAAAGCTTTTGATTAGGAGTTTCTCTAGACGAGGACGTTTTGGGGGCATGGACACTGGTCGTTGCAGCTTCATCGGGGTGTAAAAGATCCTGCAGCCGTTCTGCATCGATGACTTCAAGGTTAACTTTTAAAACGGTCTGCATGAAGCCGTGTTCCACTGCCTGGCACAGATAAATGCCAGAATCCTCCTTGTAAAGAGTTCGAATAAGAAGACCCTGGACAGTGTGAATAAAACGCTCCTCTGATCTGATCTGCACCGTTAGAAAAGACAAGGAGATAGAGAGGGGAAGAGGAACAAGGAGAAAAAGACGAAGCAGAAATTAAATTCAACACATCAAAATGAGCTGTCATATTTTTATTAGAATTTAATTAAATGTGCTGCTCATTGCTTTTTTTTTTTTTTTGGTAAATGAATTCACTGGAGTCAGCAATGTCGTTAAGTTCTGATAAGTGTGTGAAATTACCCTCTATTGGTAACACTTTACTATAAGATACACAAAATTTGCTTAACTACTAGGGAACACCTCAGGAATGAATCAGGAGCTAATGGTTAGTTAACCAGTACTTACTGGGGAACACAAAGTCAAGCCTTATTAGGAGACTACTGGTTAGTTACCTTGTAAAAGAAGAGGAACTAATCAAGAACTGATGGGTAGTTACCAAGGAAATCAAACGGGAACAAATCAGGAGCTAATAGGTAGTTAATAAGTACTTACTAGGGAACACACAGCCAAGCTTTATTAGGGGACTACTGGTTAGTTACAACATAAGCAGAGGAGAAATTATTCCTTTCATTCATGGTTAGCCTGCTTTCAGGCCCAAACCTTCTTTAAAAAAAAAATGAAGAAAGATTTTTGATTTCTGAGAATTGTCTGGTTGCATAAATGTTATTAGTTAATAAAGAGCTGAGTCGACCTCTTGTTTGTGATCCTCTGTGGAGTGCTGGTACTGCCAATGTGTTGTGGCTCTCTGGGACTTAGGACTGCATTCGAGGAATGTGCTGCTGTTCTCCACACCATACACAGTTTTATCCTGCAGCGTTGCCAGTCCACTTAGTTCATCTAGAAAACAGCGACAAAAGAGAAAATTGAATCACTTCATCTAGTAGCATGTGTTCTTTAATATTTTCTAATAACATAATTAACTTTTAAACCCTCTATTGTTCCATTCATAAAATGTAATGATAAGTATGTAATTGTTTATCCAGTCTGGTATACTTAGTATAACATGGGCAACTTTTGCCAAAATGAACTAATGAATGTGTTATTCCCTGTAGTTATCTGGTAGCGTACTTTGAAGTGGAACACCTCCTTCTCAAATTGGCAACTTTTTAAAAAAACACTTTCCCGCTATAGCTCATTAAATGAAAGTACCGGTAACGTTAAGCACGTGAATAGCCTTGACCACAGACGAGGTCCGGACTTTGGTTCAAGGCCAGTAACAGACCAGTACATTGGAGGTCCTGGCGACAGAGCGGAGGCTTGAAGGAATGTTGACCATGCTAATTATAAGCTTCACATGAACCAACTTCAATTTTTACACCACCAGAAAACACATAAAAACAAGCAGATTCCTCACACACAAATTCCTCTGTTGATTATGTGGGGAAGGAACTGATACTCCTTTGAGATGATTCAGCCATATTCACAAGTCCAATCGTTTATTGCCTGTTAACTCACCATGGTGCTGCAGGTCTGAACACTGAGTGAGTGGGTCTCCGTTCCTGATGTCTTGCCTTCTTGTTCTCCTGCGGTAAACAAAACGATAAACAAATTCATAAGTGAGCAGAAACACCAGCTTTGTGTGTGTCTGTGAAGGAGAAAATACATGTCTGCAGGGAGTTCTGTGTGAGTGTAGGTGTGTATTTCAGTGAGGTTTGGGTGTGCAGCAACAGCGCAGGCCAGCACAAACAGATAAACAGCAGGCAGCCAATGGCTTAGCAGAAAAGCCGTAATTATAGGGTGTGAATGATAGAGGAATTTTGCAATAATGTATCAATCCAGACTGTCATCTTTCTGGAGCACAAACGCTGAAAGTACAGAGTCTACTTTCTAATGGCAGTCAGTACCTTGAGGTTAATTTCTTTAAAAAAATTAAATGAAGCAGCTACAAAGATGTATAAAAAAAACACACATCATTTTGAACTTTCTCTCAGAGCTCTGTGTATTGACAATTGGGGAAGAAGTTTGCTCTGATTAGTTTTGCCTGTAAATGTAGAAGTCTAAAATAATCCAACTAACAGTGACGAGAGAATACTGTGTAACTCAAGATCGAATCAATAAACCTGATAAATGCATGAGTGGGAGGCTGCACACGATGCCAACACACAGACACTCACACAGTAAGTTACTCCACAACTATAATCACACTGAACATCCAACATCTACCTTTCCCCTGGTTCACCCTGCAGACACAACCGACTTTACTTTATGTGTACAGAAAACACTCAAAGTGGGATGTAAAGGTAAAAACATCACTATATATAACTGGGGGAGGTGGTTAAGGATTAGAAAAAACCCGCAATAAAGGTGATACTTAGCTCCGGTAGAAAGTTTAATAGTTGCTCTCTATGGTTGAAAGTCAAATATTAAACAATTAAACATTCTATAATTCAATTAAAGCATGTACTTTCATTCATACCCATCTGCTCACACAGACTCATGTGTGGGCTGCTGTTGTTATACAGTGTTGTTTTACATTATTAGTGTTTAGCGTATATCTTAGATCTTTTAGCGTACCGTCATTCGTTTAGCCTATATCTTAGTGTATATATACTGTTTCTTTTTACACTTTCTATTTTTTCTATTGTTGGGTGTAACTAGGACCCTGAGTACATAACTTTGTTCCACCTTATGTACCACATGTGATGAGAACAACAATAAAATTGACTTGAACTTGAACTTGTACTCTACAGCTACTTTTTGCATGTTATTTTTGTAAGACTGGAATGTTGTTAGCAATCATTTTTCTACACATTTGAAGGGACAGCTCTTTTTATTAGAACTAGGGTTTTGTGGAGCACAGAGGTAGTCAGTACTCAAAACCATAGTCAGAGTATTTTCATTTTGTAGGATGAGGAAAGATGTTTTATGGGAAGGCGAACAGATCACTTCTTTGTGTGTGTGTGTGTGTGTGTGTATACAGTAGCTGCATGGTGGATCAGTTGATAGAGCTGTTGCCTCTAAGCGAGAAGGTCGCTGGAACAAATCTCGGCCGGGGGGCCTTTCTGGATGGAGTTTGCATGTTCTCTCTGTGCATGTGTGGGTTTTCTCCAGGTACTCCAGTTTCCTCCCACAGACCAAAAACATGCATGTTAGGCTGATTGGTAACTCTAAATTGTCCCTGAGTGACAGTGTAAATGTTTTTGTCTCGTTTGTCTCTATGTGTCCCTGTGATGGACTGGCGACCTGTCCAGGGTGTCCGCTGCCTCTCGCATAGTGATAGCTTGACATGGGCACCAGTGACCCCCACGAGCCGAAAAGGAGAAAGCGAATAAAGATGATGGATCCTGATTTTAAAAAATCCTTTACTGTATCTTTTAAACTACTTCATTTTATGTTGTACAAGATTTGACTGTAAAGATTGTGCTTGTTAACACATGGTCTGTTGCAACACATTTCTTGTGCAAACAATGTTACAATATAAACTGTTAAGTGTACTCCATTCTTGGAACTATAGATGCAAAAGCAAAATGTTTACATGCTTTAGATTTAGTTTACATTTAAATATGTCCTGAAGTGACTCCACCATAAACATTTCTGCTTGATTCTTGAAACTGAATATGCTCTGACTGTTGTCTACTTTAGATTAAAAATGATTTAGACGTGCTGCATACAACCCCATTTTTAAACGCTCCATCACTTTAGGGATAATCAACTAAATTTTTTAAACAAATGATACAAATTTTACCTTTTTCTACATCTTAATTTTTTTTTACAAACATAAATACTGTTGAGTGGTCCAGCCAACTTACCTAACTTTGAAAAAAAAAATAGAGCTAAAATGTTATATATA